CTAAAACCAAAGTCAAAGTTGCATCACTGTGAATTGATTTAAAAAAAACAAACAAAAAAACATGCCCTTATGACCTGTGGTCTTAAGGTCATATCTTCAGGGCTACCCTGTCCATTAGGCAAAGAGAGCAGACTTCCTATGGCTCATGACCCATTAAAAGGCCCAGGAAATTGTTTTCCCATTAATGTGCATTAAAAGCAAAGAATAATGCAAGAATTATGCAAGAAATAAAAGAGAATTCAATACTAATGGGCATATAGTAATACATCAAGCCTATTCTAACATTGTCTATACTAAAGCAGTGTGAAGCGTACTACAGATAAATTTTGTGGAAGATGTAGTCTCAAAGGTGATACATACGAGTCCTAGGGAAAAGATAATTCTCTTTCAGTTTCCTCCTCTCTGTGACCACTGTCATTTGCCCTGTGGCAGTCCTTTTCCAAGACATATCTATTGTTAGCAAATGTGTCTATTCCTCAGCTTTTTTTTTTTTTCTATCACATGCCCTTTCCTTAGTTACATAGTCTTACTAACCTAAAATATAGGAAACCATGAAATAGGACTAGCAAGATGGCTCAGTGGATGGATACAACTTATCCTGGCAGCTCAATAACCTGAGTTCGGTCCCTGGAAGGTGGAAGGAGAGAACTGTCAAAGCTGTCCATTGACCTCCTTGCGTGTCTTGACACACTTATCATTATTATTATTATCATTATTTTAAAAAGTAAATTGTGACTCACAGGTGAGGGCATTTGCTTTTCCTGACAATTAGAAATAACAGAGAAATTACAGCAAATTTATAAAATAAAAGCAAATACTTGATTTAGTTTCTTTTATTTTTATGCAAGTTTATGTTATTTTTATTTACAAAACTAAAATGAACTTCAACAGATAGCTTATATACCCTTTAAATGCAGTTTATTTAAGTTATTGAACATTATTCAAGAATTTTAGAGCATTTTTTTTTGATTGTAACGAAATTGATCTTGTCAACTTATTTATATATTTATTTTAAAATCCAATGAGGTTTATTGGTTGGAGATGGAGAGAGAGAGAGATTATTAGCTTATTTAATTTCATAGTTATTAAAGCAGGTTTGGGTAATTTTATTATTTAACAGTGGCATGCATTCTTTGTTTTTTTTTTCTTCTGGTGAAACTTCGTTAAATATATTTTGTTTTCCAGGCATTGTTTTCTATAATAACCTAGGAAAAATTGGGCTAAGTTTTACCTATGAATGTTTTGAGTATGTAAGTGTACTGGAAGAGGTAGGCTACAAACAAAATGAAGCCAGAAGCATTTACTAAGAAATGGGGAAGGGGTGAGCTGGGGTGGGCTCAGAGGTTAAGAATGTGAACTGCTCCTGCAAGTTTGTCCCCAGAACCCATGTTAGTACCACACAAGTGTGACTCCGGCTCCAAGACACTGAGTCCCTCTTTTGGCCTCTGTGGGGATGTATATTCATGTGAATCTACCTGCCCACTCCCACCTCCCCAAATACACTTAATTGAAAAGTAAAAATAATACTTAAAAAAGAGAAATCAATAGGCATCATTGGAAAATAATTCTTCCTGGCCTCTTCCGTTTTTTTTTTCTTTTAAATTTTTACTTTTTGAGGTTTTATTTAGTTTTGTTTTTCTTCTTTTTGCATTTTATTTGTTTTTTTAAATTTACTTATTTTTCTATTTGTATTTCTGTTTTTTTTTATATCAGCCCTTTGAGAATTTTGTTGTTCTCAGACTAACCAATCCCCTTAGCTCTTCCTAGATCCATTCCTTCTTCCCTACCCAATCAACTTTGTGTCCTAAAACAAACAACAACAACAACAACAAAAAACAAAACAAAACAAACAAACAAACAAAAAAACAAATGAAATGAAACTAAATGAAACCAAACCAAGCAACTCTTAAGACCAATATGTGCTGCCAAAATAATCTTGGATGTGTGGTCTTCCACTGACGTGGGGTCAGCTTATAAGGGGACACATACTTAGAGGAAACTGTCGCACCCTTTCCTACCACCAACAGTTAGACTGTGCTCTGTGCCTAGGGGATGGGACTGTGTGACCATCTACCTGTCAGGGTTTCTTATGTCATTTTACATGTGGCAAGCAGAGGCACTGACTATCCTTCATTCTACATCCTTTGTTCAAGAAGTTTGTATAATGAACAGTCATGGCATGTAGAGAGATCAGCTCCCTCCAAGGAAATATGAAGCATGTCCAATAAAGTAATCTTCCTCTTGTTAAAGAGGCAGCCATGCCTACCGTCCATTGCAAATAATCTGGGTTTCCAATTCTCAAATGTTTTTCTCTTTTTACTCAAGTCACTGAATGTTCAAGTGCCATTGAATTATTTCACCTCATGTTCTGGAAACAACCGAAAAGTGACCTTACTTTGGCCACAGATATTGTCGTGAGTAACAGACTGCTACTTATCCCTAACCATGGCAATTCTTATAAAGGAAAACACTTAACTGGCTGGCTTACAGTTCAGAGGTTTATTGTTGTCATGGCTGGAAGCATGGCATCATGCAAGCCGCTGTCATCCTGTCTTATGTTACCCACTACTTGGATCACTCCTTTCATTATGACAGTTTTATATTAGTACTTAGGACATTGTGTCATCACCTTTCATTGTTCATGCAGATAACACACACATCCACGTCTCTTTTTCTCTTTGGAATTCTTCTCTTATTCAGGCATAGTTCCTTCCTTCTTTCTTTCTTTCTTTCTCTCTTTCTTTCTTTCTTCCTTTCTTTCCTTCTTTCTTTCTTTCTCTGGACTGACTGCTCAGTTGCATGTCTTATTGCTCAGAGCAAGGGCTCCACAACTGACATCATAGCTTGTGTATAATCCCATCCTATATGTGTTACGTTTAGAGGTTGTAGTATATTAACTAGTCTCTCAGCTGTTTTGGAGGAACCTCTATAGTTATATAGTGCAGCCCATTCATCAAGGGTATGTGCTGTTGTATGCCACATAGTGAAAGATAGCCATGCTGGAACATGCAACCTTTAGATGCGGCCGTCTTAGCTGTATATCTTTTCATCCATTTTAAGGACAGTTCAACTGCTAGTATAGCAAGAAGGCCTGCCATTCCACACCACCAAGGGAAGAGGAGCTGAACCTAGCTCTTTGAGGGTGCTCCACTCAGTAGCACCCTCATGAGTGTGACTCATGTATTGTCACCCTCATGAGAAACAATGAAAACTAGTTATATCTTCTTTAAAAAAATGCTGTATTATGGGCTGGAGAGAAGGCTCAGTGGCGAAGAGCAGTGATTGCTTTTCCAGAGGACCATGGTTCAATCCCCAGCACCCACATGGCAACTCACAACTGTCTGTAATTCCAGTTCTAGAGGATTCGACACCCTCACCCAGATATCACCCAGATATGTATGCAAAACACCAATGAATATGAAATAAATTTTAAAAAATTTTAATTTTATTTACATATTTGTTTATTACAGTTTATTCACTTTGTATCCCTGCTGCAGCCCCCTCCCTCATCTCCTCCCAGTCCCACATACCCTCCCTCTTCTCCCTCTATGCTCCTCTCCAAGTTCCCTGATAGGGGAGGACCTCTTCCCCTTCTATCTGATCTTAGCTTATCAGGCCTCATCAAGGCTGGCTGCATTGTCTTCATCTGTGTCCTGGCAAGGCTGCTTACCCCGCTCCCCAGGGGGGGGATGATTAGAGAGCCTGCCACTGAGTTCATGTCAGAGACGGTCCTGTTCCCTTTACTAAGAACATCCATGCTTCTTAAAGATACTCTTCACAGTGTCCAAGATATGGAATCAACCTATGTATTAGTCAGTGAATAAATGGATAAAGAAAACATGTTATTTATACAAGATAGAGTTTTATTTATTTAGACATAAGGACAACAAAATCATTTTATTTGTGTGGGGCACGGGAATGGGCCTGGAAACAGAGTGAGGTTGAGATGTGTCCAAACCTGGAAAATCTTATCTTTTCTTAAGACCTGTTCTGGATCTGGATCTGTAATCATGTGACCCTTACCTCCATCACCCTTGAGATAGTCATATAGCCTGGTAGCCAGGTTTTGGGTTTCCTCATAAGGACATGTCCAACTAGCACCTGGAATTCCTCTCTATACAAATAAACCATTTCCAGCACCTCATCCCCAGCCAATGATGTACACTCACCCCCAAAACCCCTAATTACTTTTACAAGGTTTATATAGCCCTTACTCCCCCCCCCAATAAAGCAGAGTTGTATCATTGGAAGAGCTGTGTCACTGAAAGGGCTGTATCACTGAAAGAGCTGTATCAGAGAGGGCTTTCTTTTTCCCTAGGCCCTCACTGCAACTGAGATCCTGCGAACCCACTCACCAGATAAGCTTCATTCCTTTGGGTCTAGCATATGTGCCTGGGTGCCCCAGGGGGAAGAAGCAGGGCCCAGGCTCTGGAACGACACAGTCACACCAAAATGGATGGAGCTAGGTGAAAATCGTTTTGTTAAACATAAAAATCCCAACTCAGGAAGGCAAATAGCTCATCTGTTCCCCCATCTAGTTTTTGAAAATGACATAAAAGTAGAAGAGTGGTTATTTAGGGGGGCAGAGAGGGAACAAAAGGGACAGTGAAAAAAAGGGGGGTAGTGAAAGAGGCAAGTATGATCATGATACATTGTGTCCGTATGGAAATGTTATAATGAGCATCTTACTGTTTAGAAAGTAAAGAAGAAGAGATACCCTTTTCAAATGAAAACCCAAAGCTCATCGGCTGAAGCTACTTTCTAGGTAACATATGATTGCTTAATATCCATCAGTTTCCCCTTAACAATTTGCAAAAGTAAAGTTAGATTGTGAATAGAGCTCTTTCTTCTACAGGAAACTTATGGTTTCATTTTCATGGTCTAGTAATTTACTGGAGTTCATTTTCATACAATTGCAAGCAGCCTCTCTGCCCTATTGCTTTAAATGGGCTCCTCCCACAAATTGTTTAACTTTCCAGGAGTTATTTAATGAGCGGGAACAATTTTGTTGTCATTGACTCTGTGCAAGCAGAAGACTCAAGACCTGCTTAGTTGTATGAATAACGAGCTATGTATTCTGTACCTCTGCATGTGGCACTAAATGATGGTAACTTCATCCCTGTACTGGGGTTTGGAACCACTGTGCCTGAGAAGGTAACAATTGTGTCTTGGGCTTAAGGCTTTATAAGAGAAGAGATCGAGGATGTGTGAAAACTAATGGGGACTTTCAGATTTGCTCCTGTTTGACTCAGACTCACAGGGTCTGCAGATTTGAGCTATCATGGGTAATAGAGAAAGAAGTCTTGTTACTGTTCCTTGGAGACTTCTATGAACAGTACTGTTTATTTGAGGCTCTGTTTATCCTTTAGTTTCAGACTGTTTGGCAATAAATGGAAATCAGCCATCAGCGTTATTGCTGTGCTTTGAATGTGATTGCAAAGGATTAGTGACAAGCGTTATTTCTATAATTCAAGTAATTACTCTTCTTAGATAGGTATGATCCCGATAAAAATGTTTGTGGTAGAATTTACTAGAATTGTGGCTTATGAAAAATAATGAATGTATTGTGTCTTGAGGAGAGGCAGGGTCTGAGCACCACAGCATGAATTCCAGACCTTTGTTAAAACAGCATTTGTTTCCTGCTTTCACTTTAGAAACATTTACCTATAAGCAAAATACAACACTGTTTTGGGGGTGAATTATTCCTTAAGAAAGCAACTTTAAATCCTTGCTCCATGCTCCTATTCACCACATTTGAATCAAAATACTATAGAAAGTTCTCTTGGTAAAACGTTTTTGTTCTGATTTTTGTCCTCTGTTTATTCAGTGTGTAGCAAGGATAGCACTTAAAGCTTGAGCCACGGTTTTGTCAGAGATACCCTGACCTCTCTTACTTCACAGCATTCATAGCTTTAAAGAGAGAAAAGGGGCAAAGACACCTTACCAGTTGTATTCTCAGTAAATCTGTAGGGGTCAGTACTGCCCAGAGAAGAACAGGGCTGGGATAAAGAGAGACCAAAGGAAAAACTGTTGGAACTGGGAAGATGGCTCAGTGTTTAAGAGCACTGGCTACTCTTGCTGAGGGACTGAGTTCAAGTCCTAGCAATCACATGGTGGCTTACAACTGTCTTTAACATGGTGGTCTAGGAAATCCAACATCCTCTTCTTGCCTCTCTGGGCAGCAGACAAGTGATGCATAGACATACATGTAGGCAAAACACGTTAAGATGAAATAATTTTTTTAATAAGATGAAATAATTTTTTAAATGGAAAACTGTCAAAGAAGAACATTATAATATTTTAGGTAGACTGGATACATTAGAGAAGTCAAGTCCTGAAATAATTTGTAGGGTCTTTGATGACTTGAGTTTGATTGATCTCTGATATCCACATGGCAGAGGAAGAGAACTGCCTCTCCCAGATCTTTCTCAGACCTCCAGATGTACAGCACACACACACACACACACACACACACACACACACAAACACACACACAAATGCACACGCACATGCACACAGATAATAAAGAAATGTGGGTTACATTCGGGTGCCATGATGTTTAACTACAGGAAGAGATAAGGATGCCCAGCACAGATGTCCCATCCTGAGATAAGATAGCTTCCCATTCTTATGTTTCTCTCAAAGCTGTTTTTTGAGTGGGGGATTTTATGGTCTGTTTCTGGAGCTGGTGACATATGTCCTAGTTCTTAGGACTGATGACTTTTCTTTTAAAGTCAGGACTGATCCTAAAATGGAGACAAAATGGAATTTATGTTCTCCTTTGAGCAGAATCTTCCATAGGCCTGTAAATCACCAAGCAGGCTAAGACGGTCTGAGAGATCTAGCTGCCTCTGCTTCCTCAGCTCTGGAATTACAAGTGTAGACAGCCACACTCAATGTTTTTACATGAGTTCTGAGGATCTACCCAGGCTCTCATCTTGTGCAGCAAGCATTTTACCAACTTCATCATTTGCCCAGTCTTAAAGCACATTTTAATACATATATTTAAATATGGAATATTAAGACCAAGAATAAGATACACCCAAGTGTAGGTATGGGCTTTTCAGGAGAAAGTTACCTTTTATCATCTTTATACTTGCCATATATACAATGGCTAGTATAAGTTATTATCTTCAAAGTGTGAATAAGAAGCCTAAATGAGTTCATGGAGTGATTTCTAAGGGTACATGGCAAGGTCACAGTTCATAAGGTGAAATTATTTGATGGGGATCCATGAAACAGGACATATTTACTGTATACAAAGTTAACAATCTGTTTGAGATGCTTAGAAAATATGTGGGAAAAGAAATAATATCCTATGGTCATATACATGTCAGGACTTAAGCCAATTTTGCTGCCATTTTAACACACTATATTTGAATACGGAAGGGATGCTATTATAGTATAGCCACCACAGCACATGTTGCTAATGGTTCTGGAATTATTTTTGATTCTCAGTTGGTAAGAGGCTGACTCCAGGGTGAGAGGCTCATTTTCCTTCCTGTATCCCATCCCCGTAAGTTTGCCTGTGTTTCTATACCGTCTTAATTAGGCCTGTGAGTCTTTTGATCAAATCACTGAATGGGGAGATATTATTCAGGACTTCCAATGCAGGTAATACAGTGATTGCTCTGGACTGAGTATGTTTGGGGATATGTCCACCTTAGGACTATTTGAAACAGACCCAGGAAAATTATAATGAACTACACATACATAGCAACTCCAAGACAGGAGAAGTTGACTCATTGGAAAGCGTTGTTTGTGTTTAAAATAGCTTTTATTACACAGAAACTATTTTTGGTTGCTCCTTTAGGTTCCGAAAGATGAAGTTATCAAGGCTACTAAAATAGCTATAGATGCTGGGTTCCGCCATTTTGATTCGGCTTACTTGTACGAAATCGAAGAAGAAGTAGGACAGGCCATTAGAAGCAAGATTACAGATGGCACTGTGAAGAGAGAAGATATATTCTATACTTCAAAGGTATTTTGTATTTGGGGTGCTTGTGGGCATATTTAATGAGCCTCACAGACAATAAGTGTTTGGATCAATACCTGTTTTATATATTGTTACTAATTGCTATGACTTTTTTAAATTAATTTTTATTTTCTAATATTAATCACAGGTTATTTGCTTTGTATCCCAGCCTCCCTCCCTCATCTCTTCCCTGTCCCTTTCCAAGTCCACTGCTAGGGGAGGTCTTCCTCCCCTTCCATCTCATCCTAGCTTATCAGGTATCTTCAGGACTGGCTGCAGTGTCCTCCTCTGTGGCCTAATGAAGCTGTTCCTCCCTCCGGGGGCAGGAGGAGGTAAAGAAATTGCTATGACTTTTATTCACATACATTTGTATATTCGAACTAGAATAAAAAATAGATAAATATGTCTTTGTTACCAGTGGGAAGTAAAAATTTATGACTTTTATGTAAATATACTGTTCTGAATCTCAAGTCAAAGCAGTGTGTGTGGTTCTTCATACAATGTAGAGTCAGACAGAGCTTGACCATGATGCAACAGTGACCACTGCTGAGGAGTTGAAGTAGAGTTTGAGATTCAACAGAACTAGGGGAGTGTAGGTTATGTTGTTCCCAAGTGCCTTTATGGGCTTTCTGTGAAGTTTTTTTCTAGTTAACTCAGGGAGAGAAACAATGAAAAACAGAGCATTTCCCATCACTATTACCAGATGTGGTCAGAAGACAGAAAGTCTCAGTGACAAATGGGGACTGTTTATACAATGCCCTTGAGCATACTAAATTTCATTGCTGAAGAGGGGAAAAAAAAAGAGAAAACATTGCCTGAGGCATTTCTTGGACAAGTGGCTGCATTCTTCCCAGGAATGTAAGCAAAGTTCTATGGGGACAGAGTTCACACAACAGGATAGTATATGAACTGGTTACAGGGTATTAAAATCCATAACTCTAATCTTAAAGACAATAAGAGAGTTTGTTCTTTAAAAACATAAAATGTTACAAAAAATTGCTTCCATGTTGGAACATAGAAATTGAGGTAACCTAAATATATGTTCCTAAGCCATGGTTACTCAAAATGGCTACAGAATAAAGAAAATCATAAATCAATGCACATTTAAAATATATTGGTAGGTACACCAGAGACACAGGTACACTGAGATGGGGGAATGTTTTCTATAGGCCTACCATGCTATTGATGATATTCTTAGCTTTTGGATTAGTGAATCTAGTAGTCTGCTAAATTAATATATTCTCAAAGGTTTTAATTTATTATTCACAAGATGTTCTCACAGAGAGGTAGACAAGGAATAGATGTTCCAGAGGGCTAGATCACTAAGATACTTAACTTATGGACCTGTAGAACCTTGGACCTTAGAACTACAGTTTTAAGCAGTGACACAGTCTCTGCAGGCACAGTTTCTTTCCTGCAGTTTTTGTTCACAAAAAATGCATGGCTAAAGTGTGTTCGGTTAACTTCAGCATACACTAGCATGCTTCCAAAAAGGTTTTCCTGCAACCTTCAGCTATGTATATTGAACGAATTCTAGCTCTTCCCTGTGTACTTGAATGAATGAGTGATTTAGACCAACTTTGTATGTTACTTTAAAAAGTGAACATTTTTATTAGAGAAAACTAATATAAAAATATTTATTTATTCACTTTATATTCCAATTGTAGCCTCATCTCTCCTCTCCTTCTTGTCTTACCCTCCTTTCCTCTTGCTCCCACTGCCCATCCATTGTTCCTCAGGGAAGGGAGGCTCCACAACACACCCCAGATCATCAAGTAACATCAGGACAGAGTGTGACCTTCCCTTGTAATCTGGCGAGGCATTCCCTCCAGGGGAAAGTGATCAAGAAGCAAGCAACAGAGTCCATGTCAGAGACAGCCCCTGATCCCCTTACTAGGTAACCCACATGAAGCCTGAACAGCCTATTGTCTACATCTGTGCAGGGGTCCTAGAACCAGTTTATACATGGTCCTTGGTTGATGCTTGAGTCTCCACAAGCCCCTCTGGGACCTGCTTAGTTGGCTTGTTGGTCTTCTTATGGAGCTTCTGTCACCTCCTGGTTCTTCTATCCATTTCTCCATTTTTCCACAGTCTTCCTATACTTCATCCAATGTTTGGCTGTGAGTCTCAGCATCTGTTTCAATCTGCTGCTGGGTGGAGCCTCTCAGAGGACAACTATGCTAGGCTCCTGTTTGAGAGTATAGTAGAATATCATTAATAGTGTCAGGGCTTAGCTCTCTCCTATGGGGAGGGTCTTAGATTGGGCCAGGCATTAGTTAGATATTCCCTCAATTTCTGCTCCATCTTTATCCTTGCATATCTTGTAGGTAAGTTTTAGGTTGAAGTTCTTGTGGGTTGTTGGTATTCCCCTCCCTCCACTAGGAAACCTGTCCAGTTAGAAGATGGCCTCACACGTGATATGTATGCACTCATAAGCAGATTTTAGTCATATAGTGCAGGATAACCATACTACAATTCACAGACCCAAAATAAGGAACAAGGAAGACCCATGGGAGGATGCTTAAATCTCACCCAGAAGGGGAAATAGAATAGACAGTTGAAGAGTTGGAAGCAGTTGAAGAGAAGGAAGAAGGTATGAGAGGGAGCACAGAGAGAAATGAGGGTGGAGATCAGACCTGGGGAGAGCAGGCAGTGGGAGGACAGAGGGCCTGTGGAGGGAAGAGAAACCGAGGGGAGAGGTTTCTCTGTAACTAAGACAGGGTAGGCTTCTGGGAGGAAATGGGGGTGACTGTAGCTGAGACTTCTGGAAGCAGGGGTCATAGAGACTGAAGAGGACAACTTTTTCTCTTAAACATTTCATCACATGTTCAATAGGTAAACTGCTAATTACCAAATACATAATGATATCCAAGTGACACAGCTCAGTGGTAGGACATTGGACTACACACACAATGAAGTTTATATGTGAAAAACCAGTGAGAAGAAAGAAATGCAGAGAGTGTTTTTCTAAATGTAGAAAAATGTCTTTGTGTTAGATAAAGTAATCCAATTAAAGCAGATGAACTCTTGAGTTTAAAGTTTCTTTTAAAAAAAACATTATTTTTATATTAATTGCAGTTTATTCACTTTGTATCCTAGCTGTAACCCCCTCCCTAAATCCCTCCCAATCCCACCCTCCCTCTCCCAATCCCACCCCCGTCTCCCAATCCCACCCTCCCTCTCTCATCTCCCATGCCCCTCTCTAAGTCCATTGATAGGGGAGGTCCTCCTCCCCTTCCATTTGACCCTAGCCTATCAGGTCTCATCAGGACTGACTGCATTGTCTTCCTCTCTGGCCTGGAAAGGCTGTTCCCCCTTCAGGGAGAGGCGATCAAAGAGCTAACCACTGAGTTCTTGTCAGAGACAGTCCTGTTCCTCTTCCTAGGGAACCAACTTGGATACTGAGCTGTCAACTGAGGAACAGATACAGAAATTACGGTGCATTTACACAGTAGAATATTACTTAGCAATTAAAAACAAGGAAAACATGAAATTTGCAGGCAAATGGTGAGATATAGAAAAGATCATCCTGAATGAGATATCCCAGAAGCAGAAAGACACATGGTATATACTCACTTATAAGTGGATATTATTAGACATATAATATAGGAAAAACATACTGAAAATGGTACACCTAAAGAAGCTAAGCAAGAAGGAGGATCCTGGGTAAGATGATCAATCCTCACTCAGAAAGACAAACAGTATGGACATTGGAAGAAGGAGAAAACAGGAAACAGGACAGGAGCCTACCACAGATGGCCTCTGAAAGACTCTATGCATCAAGGTATCAAAACAGATGCTTTTTTTTTGAGACAGAGTCTCTATGTGTTGCCATGGCTGTCCTGGAACTCACTCTGGCCTCAAACTCACAGAGATCTGCCTGCCTCCTGTCTCCTGACTGCTGGGACAAAAAGCATGTACTACCACCATCTGATTAAAGTTTCATTCTTTAACTTTGACAGCTTTGGAGCACTTTCCATCGACCCGAATTGGTCCGAACTTGCTTGGAAATGACACTGAAGAAAACACAACTGGACTATGTTGATCTTTATATTATTCATTTCCCAATGTCTTTGCAGGTGAGCAATTTTCTGTGTTTAAAATTCTTTCACTAGTCATGCTAGTATAACAGTTATATGGTAATTTAAGATTTATATTCTTGAGTAAATGTATGGATTATCATTCTGATGAAAATTCTAAACAATAATCCCTAAGTCCCATTTCATACAGTTATTTTTGAAGCCTTGAAGCTGTGCTTCCTGCTTGTGAAAGAAAATAATTTAGCTATCTTCTGCATTAGAAAGTTGGAAGAAGCCCAATAGCTACATTCAAGACATCATTCTGGTTTGATTCCTGATGTTGGTTGTTTGCTTGCTTTCTGGTGTGGATATGTTTCTGCAGATGCAAATATTTGTGGTTGTACTTTGCATGTGTATGCTTATGCATATGAAGGACAGAGCACAGCCACTTGTGTTTTTTAAATACCATCCACAACTTATTTGAGACAAGGTCTGAATAGGCTAGTCTGACTAACCAAGCCATCTGACTCCATCTTCCCAGTCCTGAGATTGCAAATGAATACCACAACAGCTGACTTTAAATTTTGTTTTGCTTGTGGTTCTATGTAAGTTCTGGAGGTTAAACTCAAGCCTGTAAGCTTTCCAGTAACATGCTTTACCCACTGGGACATCTCCCTTAGTCTTCTGAAGGTGTTTACATGTAGTTGTGAAGATTAAAAAAACTAGTATAATATGCTTCACAATGAGATTACATCGTCTCTTGTATTTGTACTCTGAAAGCAGATCTGGTGGTCCTCACCAGTGGGTGTCCTAGTTAGCTTTATCTATCAATTTGACAGGGCCCCAAGTCATTTGAGGAAGTCTCATTTGGGGAATTGCTCACATTGGATTTGCCTGAGGCTACATCTTTGAGAAATTTTCTTGATTATGGATTGATGTGTGAGGACCCATCCCACTGTGGGAAGTGTCATTCCTCTCTACAGGTGGTTCAGGCCTGTAGAAGGAAGCTAGTTGATGACTGAGGGAGGCAGTGAATCATAAGCAGCTTTCCTCCAGGTCTTCTGCTTCAGTTTCTTTTTGAATTCCTGCCCTGACTTCCCCTGACTTCCCTCAATGATGGATTGTGGTCTGGAAGTATAAGATATTAAATGAACCCCTTCCTCTCCAGTCATTTTTAGTTATGATGCTTATCACAGAGAAGGAAAACAAACTAGAACATGTGGTTCTCAAACTACTGACTGTTGGAGATTTGGCGAGTATTATTTCTTTTGATAGTTTCATGGTGGGGTTTCAATAACTGTGCTATGCAAAATCCTTGCTATAAAATTATCAAAACCTTAAGGTAGGTTGTGCAATGGAGGCTATTATGTTGCATAACTAGGAACTCCAAGCCATTTAATGGCATGAAGCACCATCAGCTTCAAAAATATTTTCTTTATCCCTTATCTCTATATCATATTTGTTTATTTGGGGGCTATTGTTTGCTATTGGTAGAAAATATGGTCTTGTGGAAATTCAGGATTCATGGTTGATATAACTTCAGAACTCTTCTGGCTTTCTGATACCCACATTAATCCTGATAAGGAAGCCTGATTGATGGGCCAGTTTAACTGTGCATGCTCTTACACAATCATATGCCCACAGAGATAACTATTTTGCTCAAAGCATAAATATTATTGTCAGATATAAAGATCAGAGAATTACCAATCACTCCAAATGCAAAGGACATAAAACAATATCCTGCTTATGTAAGAAGGCTCTGAAGGACTTGGCAATGTGACTAAATGTGGTAACGTGACTTGAGTGAAGTCTGAAATGAATAATTCTGTTCCAGCCTGGAGACAAATTCTTTCCACAAGACAAGCACGGGAAAGTGTTGGCTGATACAGTGGATCTCTGTGACACATGGGAGGTGAGTCCTTGCAGGAAAGAGCACAGAAGGGGACATTGGGAGAGGGTGAGTCAGGTATGACCTCTGCCTGTGAGGGTGAAACATAAACAGCTTGATCTAGAATTCTGTAACTTGCACAAGTGTTGTTTTGATGGAGATGCTGGAGGGATTCATTGTTGGAAAGCAATGGGAATAGAGAAGAACTGGGGACAGTGAGATTAGAAATATCTTTCCAACCAAATATCACCTATTTCTTAAGGACACATTTTTTTTTTTGCTTTTACTTCCTCTGCCCTTTATTTTCTCCACAATTCTTCATCTCTAGACAGTCAGAGCCAGTAGTTCCTTCAGTATTTCTTGAAAGCATCCCTTTTAACACTACTTCTTGGAACAACTGCACATTTTATTCTTCACTATCCTTTTTTTCAACAGGCCATGGAGAAATGTAAAGATGCAGGATTGGCCAAGTCCATTGGGGTGTCCAACTTTAACCGCAGGCAGCTGGAGATGATCCTAAACAAGTCAGGGCTCAAGTACAAACCTGTGTGCAACCAAGTAAGCCCTTTTCACCTTTTTTAGTGCCTAAATTATTCTTCTAGTACTGCTGTCTCACATCCATTGTTGTTTAGTCCTGTCCATTTTTTCCAATTTATTTTTTTTAATTTTTAAAATATTAGTTACAGTTTATTAACTTTGTATCCCAGCTATAGCCTGCTCCCTTATTCCCTACCAATCCCACCCTCCCTCCCTTATCTCTTCCCTGCCCCTTTCCAAGTCCACAGATAGGGGAGGTTTCCTCCCCTTCCATCTGACCCTAGCTTATCAGGTTTCTTAGGACTGGCTGCCTTGTCTACCTCTGTGGCCTAGCAAGGCTGTTCCTCTCTTGGTGGGTGGGGAGGGGCAAAGAGCCAGCCATTGAGTTTATGTCAGAAAAAGTCCCTGTTCCCCTTACTAGGGAACCCACTAGGATACTGAGCTACCATGGGCTACATCTGAGCAGGAGTGAGGTATCCCAGAAGCAGAAAGACACATGGTATATACTCACTTATAAGTGGGTACTAGACTTATAAGATAGGATAAACATACTAAAATCTGTACACTTAAAGAAGTTAAACAAGAAGGAGGACCCGGGGTAAGATGATCAATCCTCACTTAGGAAGACAAATAGGTCTGTTCCCCATTTTTTAATTGGATTACTTGATTTGTTGCTTTTCAACTTCTTTACTTCTTTATATATCCTGGATATTGGCCCTCTGTCAGATAAAGGGTTGGTGAAGATTCTTTCTCAATCTGTAGGCATTCATTTTGTTTTGATGATAGTGTCCTTTGCTTTACAGAAGCTTTTCAGTTTCATGAGGTCCCATTTATTGATTGTTGCTCTTAGAGCCTGTGCTGTTGGTGTTCTGTTCAGGAAGTTGTCTCCTGTACCAATGAGTTCAAGACTCTTCCCCATTTTTTATTCTAAGTGGTTTAGTGTGTCTGGTTTTATGTTGAGGTCTTTGATCCACTTGGACTTTAGTTTTGTGCAGGGGGAACAGAGCTAAACAGAGAATTCTCGATAGAGGAATAATGAATGGCAGAGAAACACTTCAAGAAACGCTCATCATCATTAGCCATCAGGGAAATGCAAACCAAAACAACCCTGAGATTTCACCTTACACCCATCAAAATGGCCAAGATGAAAAACTCCACTGCTGGTGGGAATGTAAACTTGTACAACCACTCTGGAAAACAATCTGGCACTTTCTCAGACAACTAGGAATAGCGCTTCCTCAAGATCCAGCTATACCACTTCTAGGCATATATCCAAAAGGGGCTCAAGTACACAATATGGACATTTTCTTGACCATGTTTTATAGCAGCTTTATTTGTAAGAGCCAGAAGCTGGAAACAACCCAGACGCCCCTCAATTGAAGAATGAATACAGAAATTGTGGTACATCTACATAATGGAATATTACTAAGTGATAAAAAGCAAGGAAATCATGAAATTTGAAGGTAAATGGTGGGAACTGGAAAAGATCATCCTGAGTGAGTTATCAAAGAAGCAGAAAGACACACATGGTATATACTCATTCATATAGACATATAATATAGGATAAACCTACTAAAATCTGTACACCTAAAGAAACTAATCAAGAGGGAGGACTCTGGCTCAATTCCCATCCGGAAAGGCAAAGAGGATGGACATCAGAAGAAGAAAACAGGAAACAAGTTAGGAGCCTGCCACAGAGGGCCTCTGAAAGGCTCTGCCCTGCAGACTATCAGTGCAGATGCTGAGACTTATGGCCAACTGTTGGGCAGAGTGCATGAAATTTTATGAAAGAAGTGGGAAATAGTAAGATCTTGAGAGGACAGAAGCACCAGATGGAGAGCAACAGAACCAAAAATCTGAGCACAGGGGTCTTTCCTGAGACTTATACTCCAACCAAGTAACATGCATGGAGATGACCCAGAACTCCTGCACAGATGTAACCCAGGGCAGTTCAGTGTCCATATGGGTTCCATAGTAATGGTAACAGGGACTGCCTCTGACATGAACTGATTGTCTTGCTCTTTGAACACCTCAATCTGATGGGGGAATAGCCTTACTAGTCCACAGAGGAAGACAATGCAGCCACTCCTGATGAGATCTGATAGACTAGGATCAGAAGGAAGGAGAGGAAGACCTCCCTTATCAGCAGAGTTGGGGAGGGGCATGTGTGGAGAAGGAGGAGGGAAGGTAAGATTGGGAGGGGAGGAGGAAAGGGTTTATGGGGGGATACAAAGTGAATAAAGTGTATTTAACAAAAATTTATATACATATATATATATATGAAAGACAATGGGATTGACATTGGATATAGGAGAAAACAAGTAACAGGACAGGAGCCTACCACACAGGGCCTCTGAAAGACTCTGCCTAGTAATGTATCAAAGCAGATGCTGAGACTCATAACCACACATTGAGCAGAGTGCAGGGAATCATATGAAAGAAGAGGGAGTTAGTATGACCTGGAGAGGACAGGAGCTCCACAAGGACCTAATATATCTGGGCACAGGGTCTTTTATGAGACTGTATCACCAACCAAGGACCATGTATGTATATAACCTAGAATCCTGTTCATTTTACCCTCATGGGGCAGCAATTCTAAGAGTGGAATCTCTCTTAGAGGATGTAGAGGTTCTTCATTACAACTCTGCTTGAGAAACCACTGGAACAGTTGAGGCTATCATAGCGCTATTTGGATATAAGAAGTAGAACTGGGAAAAGCTATCAAAGAAGGTAGCAGTTGTAGTGTGACCTCTGAGAAGAAATTGCATTTCTTCTCCATCTGTGAGAAGATATTGGATAAAGAAATGTGGAGGGAACTGTACAGGAAGAAAGGTCCTGGAAAGACAGTGTGGGCTACAAGCAATGATGGAGTCCAAGTGAAAGATCAATGGTGCAAACATGAACGGCTGTGCCCTCGGTTCCAACACGTCTAATTTTAGGTGTATCAACCATAGTCACAGTTACATGGAAATTAGCTGAAAACTATCAAATTCATCAAGATTTGTGAGATATCATGTCTGGTTATGATGAAATCATGGCAGTTTTGGGCACTGCATTTTGAGGTGACTTTATGATTGATGACATACATCATAGTCTATTCCTTCCTGCTTTCTAACAGCAAATCAATGGTTGAAATACACACACACACACACACACACACACACACACACACACACACACAAACACACACACACCAGCACATATATGGAGGTCAGAGAATTGTAGGAATTGGTTGGCTTTCTCTTTCTACCATGTGTGTCACAGAGATTGAAATCAGGTCGTCAGGTTTGGTGGTGAGTGCTTTAACCTGCTAAGCCATTTCACCAGCTCCTCTTTTCTTACATGATATTTTGCTATAAATAACTTTTTACATATCAAGGCAAAACTCACTTTTATATAAGATAATGTAAACATTAGTAGTTTGCCTTTGAATTCTGATGTTCGGACTAAACTTCGCAGTGAAAATCAACATGCGCAAATGGATGTTTACCCTCTCTCTTTTCTCTGGATTATGATGGACTTATAAATTTCTTACATTAATATGGATCCTATGAAAATGGTGATTTTGTCTTCATACACGCCATCATGAGCCTTTGGCTAAAATCTGCTTCTACTGTGATTTAGTATCCAAGTTTGTAAAGATCCTTTTCCTGTTCCTTGTCTGGAATCTGCCGACCCTCTGTGTATTGTAAAACACTATTTGGTGTCTAAGAACTGGTACATAGAATTATTTCTTTTCAGGTATATATTTTAAAAAAAAAACTTTCTATAAGGAGGTGCTATTAAATTATTTTGTTAAAGTGATTAGTGATTGATAGTTAATTTTTTTCACTTCATGTTTTCACATTATACTTTCTAAAAATTCCAGTTTTTTCATTTTGATGTCTTCCTTTCATATTAATACAAAACTTCATATAATCTGATTGTATTGTCTCAGGTCGAATGCCATCTTTATCTCAACCAGAGCAAAATGCTGGACTATTGTAAGTCAAAAGACATCACTCTTGTTGCCTACTGTACATTAGGAAGTTCACGAGACAAACGATGGTAGGTAACAAAGACAACAGTGTATCTTAAAAATCATTGTTGAAATATATTTAGTTCTGTGGCAATTTTTTATATATAATTCTCAACTTATATACCTCAACTTAGAGTGGTTGGTATTTATATTTCTGAGAAGATCTGAGATGATATTAACTTTACTGGCCCAGGGAGAACAATTTTATATCTATTTCTGGAAGATATACCAGTTTTGTAAGCCTCCTAACACAAAGGTAAGTTGAACTTCAGGAGTCGAACATTTTTATCTTTTTTTCCAGGGTGGACCAGAACAGTCCAGTTCTCTTAGAAGATCCAGTTCTTTGTGCCATGGCCAAAAAGTACAAGAAAACACCAGCGCTGATTGCCCTTCGTTACCTTTTGCAGCGTGGGATTGTGGTTCTGGCCAGGAGTTTCAATGAGAAGCGGATCAAAGAGAACATGCAGGTAATGAAAGGGCTGTAGGCCTTGAAGCATCTGTGAAATATTCTGTCTTAGGGTTCCTATTATTGTCATGAATCATCATGATGAAAAGCAATTTGTGGAGGAAATGGTTTATTTGTCTTATACTTCCACATCACAGTTCACCATCAAAGAAAGTCAGGACAGGAACTCAAACAGGGCAGGAACCCGGAGGCAGGAGCTGATCCAGAGGCCACAGGGAAACACTGCTTACTGGCTTGCTCCTTATGGCTTGCTCAGCCTGCTTCCTTATAGAACCTAGGACCACCCGCCTAGGGATAGCTTCACTAACAATGGGCTAGGCCCTCTCCCACCAATCACTCATTAAGAAAATACATTACATCTGGATCTTATGAAGGCATTTTCTTGATTGAAGTTCTCTCTTTTCAGATAACTCTAGCTTGGGTCAAATTGGCATAAGACTAGTTTGTGCATATCCTTATCATGGATCATTCGTGATCTCTCAGAATATTTCTATGCCTATTTAGCCTCTTTTAAAATTCTTATAAGTAGATATTAGTCATATAATATAGGATAAACATACTAAAATCTATACTAAACAAGAAAGAGGACCCTAGGGAAGTTGTGCAATCCTCACTCAGAAAGCAAATGGGATTGACATCTGAAGTGGGAGAAAACAGGCAACAGGACAGGAGCCTACCACAGAGGGCCTCTGACAGACTCTACCCAGCAGGATATCAAAGCAGATGCTGAGACTCATAGCCAAACTTTGTGCAGAGTGCAGGGAATCTTATGAATGAAGGTGAAGAGGAAAGAACTGAAGGGGAGAGGAGCTCCACAAGGAGAGCAACAGACCCAAAAAATCTTGGCCCAGGGATCTTTGTAAAGATCAATACTCCAACCAAGGATCATGCATGGAGATAACTTAGACTCCTTGCTCAGATGTAGCACATGGCAGCTCAGTGTCCAAGGGGGACCCATAGTAATAGGAACAGGGACTGTCAATGACATGAACTCAGTGGCTAGCTCTTTGATCACCTCTTCCTGGAGTGTGCAGCTGTACCAGGCCACAGAGGAAGACAATGCAACCAGTCCTGATAAGAGCTGATAGGCTGGGGTCAGATAGCAGGAAGGAGGACCTCTCCTATTAGTGGACTGGGGGAGGGGCATGGGTGGAGAAGAGGGAGGGAGGGTGGTGTTGGGAGAGGACTAAGGGAGAGGGCTACAGCTGGGATACAAAATGAATAAATTGTAATAATCAAAAAATTATATTTATGTATGCATGCATGTGGTGTGTGTGTGTCTGTGTTTGTGTTCAAGTGCCATGATGGAGGTCAGGTGACAGCTTTTCAGGGGGGTCAGCTTTTCTTTCCACCATGGATTCCAGGAATTGAATTCTGATCTTTAGGCCTGTGCCACAAGTGCTTTTGCTTGCTGTGCCATTTTGCTAGTTTGGACTGAGTTTTCTCCTATCTTTGTTGTCCACTCTTGCATTTGCAGGAGAGTGAAACTTGTCTGTTGATTGGGATGTTGTCTGAACTGTGTTTGCTCTCCTTCATATAGTTTTATTTTTATTCTTTAGATAACTAGCTTAGGCTTCATCTCATTACACGCACAGTTCTTGTGGCGTGGAGTATTCTAGAGATGCCTGTGATTTTATTTCATATGGAGGGTTACTTGAAACAATCTGTGTGTGTGTGCTTTGTTCTCTCTCTCACCGTGTGTGTGTGTGTGTACATGATATGGTGTGTGTCTGGATTTCAGACAACCTTGTGTGTCAGTTTTCACTTCTCACCTTGTAAAGTGAAAGCCTATTTCCTTTATATTGAATATCAGGTGAGAAAGAAATAAACCCAAGTTCTTATATAAGACAGTGAAACACACAAGTACAAACCAAGGAAAAACTTTAAAAACTAAATTTTAACAATAGGGTTTAAAGATGTATGTATGTATGTTTAAGAAATATGGGCAGAGACTCCTCTACCTCATTGGTAAATACAGTGAGAAAATAAGGACTTGTACAGAGTCTCTCTTGTACGTGGATGACATCAGGTTGACTGGATGTCCTATTTAGATCTCTGTTGCTGTCATGAAACCATGACAAAAAGCAACTTGGGAGAGGAAAGGGTTTCTTTGGCTTACACGGCTACATAATAGTCCACTATTACATTTAATAGTTTTATCAGCTGTTCAGATACTGATTTTTCTCTTGTCTTTCAACATGCTTTACAGTAGTACTATGGATTCATAAAATCATTAGTATGCATATGTTGAGAACTAGTGATAATAAATTTTATGTTTAATCTATCTAAATTAGATAAGTGCTTTTGAAGTCAGTTCCAATGCTCTTTGCTGATGACTTAATTAGCATTTGACAATTTATGCATTAAACTATATAAAACTAATTTTCTTATTGTGTTACTAATGTAATATAGGACTCTCTATCTATATATCTTACTAAACTCTATTTTTTTAATTTCAGTTTATTTACTTTATATCCCAAAGTTGCCTCTCCCTCCTCTCCTCTCAACACCTCCCTTTCCCTCCTTCCACCATCCCTTCTCCTTTTCCCCCAGAAAAGGGGAACTAAACTCTATTGTTAAAGTTCAGTTTTCAAAGTTTTTATTTTTTCCCATATTCTGTTTATTAGTTTCAATAACACCATCTTTGTTTGTTTCCTCATTTTTCCATAGTTTGTAGCTGTGTGGTTTTATATAATCTTTTGTGTAAGAACATGGGTTTATTTCTTTTCCACGTGTTTTTTTTTCTGAATAATTTGAATGCTTTATTTGATATTTTTAAGAGAATTGGGACATATCTCCTGTGTTTTTAATGTTGCCTTTTGAATTTACTTGGGTTTCCTAGACTGTCAATATGTAATACAAAAGTAATAAAATTTTTATTTCTCTGATAGGTTTTTGAATTCCAGTTGGCTTCAGAGGACATGAAAGTCCTAGATGGCTTAAACAGAAATTTAAGATACAATACTGCATTTTTGTAAGTAACTTTGGTCAATACATGGCTTCAGTTGGTTTTCTAGGTAGGAATGTAATGTGTTAAAAGTTATCTCAATATGCAGAAGACAAAGGAGAGTGTGAGTTAGGGATGAGCTGCTTTTGGCTGTCTTCAGAACTTTATTCCCTGGTAGAGCCAGGGTCAACCTAACTCACATGTGCCCCTCTGCATGTTTCAAGCCACTGAACTTTCTAGATAATACAATGCCTTTGTTGAAATTTAACCTCTGTGTAGGCTTCTGTCTTCTATGGCTATGACATGAAACATAGACTGTGATATAGCTGTTTCTGTAAATAAGCTTAGGGCATCTGCCCACATAGCTCAGATTTTATTTTTAAACTAGATCAAAGTTATTTTTTTCAACACCTTGGTCCTAGTTAGACTGTCTTATCTATTTCATATGGAATTGTTGTTTATGCCTTATCAATTTGATGTTTTTCATAGATTCAAGTCTCTCAATGCTTTTTACTGCACATTTTTCAGTACTCAAATGCTACATTTGTATAAAAACCAGTTAGACTCTGTGAGATGAATAGAAACTATCGCTTTACATTTTCAGAAATACAGAGATTTCAGTGCAAAGGACAGAGACATCTTAGCTTAGTGAAATTAGAAACTGAAAGAAGATCTTAGAGACATTCCCATTGTTGGAAGCAATTTAAAGCCAACAAATGGTCTCTTCTTTTCCTTTTTACTGTAAGGTTTTGGAAACTGAGAAAAGACATATCTTGTAAATGAGGGTAGGCAGGGTGTGTATTTCTTCTGATATGGTAATTTAAACTCACAATAGAAATAATGGCATGGGACTTGAAATGAGAGTAGCCTGAAGAAAATTTATATGTGCTCAAAAACAGCAGGTAACACATTAATAATCTTTTTATTACTATAGGGGAAAGTTAAGAATTAAGTAGGGATAATAACGCAAAAATGAGAGTGCGGCAAGTGGAGAGGAATTATTCCTATCTTTTACATGTATAACTGTAAAGAATGGCTTTTGTCAGTTATATTTTGTGTTACTAGTAAAGTATGAACATCACCAAATAACAAAATATGCTTCTAGAATAAGGAACTCAAAAATTTTTAAATGGACATGGTGGTATACAACCAAATCCCAAACACTGGGAGGTGGACACAGGAGTGTCATAAGTTCAGAATCATGGTCAGCTATATGGTGAGTTTGAGGCCAGTCTGGGTTCTGTGAGATCCTGTTTAAAAAATTAAAAATCTTTCCATCTATATACTTAATATATTAAGTACCCATAAAAGTTAGGGTTGCTATTGCTTTGAAGAAACAGCATGATCAAAGCAACTTGGGGATGAAACAGTTTATTTCACTCACAGTTCCATATGAGTTTGTTATCAAAAGCAGTGAACTCAAGCCACGCAGGAACCTGGAGGCAGGAGCTGATGCAGAGGCCATGGGGGAGTGCTGTTTACTGTCTTGGTCCTCATGGCTTACTCAAGCAGCTTTCTTATAGAACCCAGGACCACCAGCCCAGGGGTGGCCGCACCCACAGTTGCCTGGGCCTTCCATATCAATCACTAATTAATGCCTTTCAGGCTTGCCTGCAACTGGATCTAATGGAGGCCTTTTCTCAGTAGCAACTCTCTCCTCTCAGATGACTGTAGCTTGAATTACTGTCAAGTTGAATTAAGACTAGTCAGTAGAGTAAGGGAACATTGTAGTTGGACTGATTAGAAAAAAGAAAGCAAAATTGTTAGCAGTAACTAGTACATCTTGAACTAGCATTTAGTACTGACTAACATTTGGACTTATCTTTTTTTAAAACAAGGAGGAATCAATTTCTTATACTAAGCCTCTTTTTTTTCATATTGTAGCTTTGGTGAACATCCCACCCAGCCATTTACTGATGAATATTAGCGTGGAGGCCTTTGTCAGAATTCCTACAAGATCTGTGTGTGCATCATGCTATGAGAGATATCTTCGTTAATGTTGATTGAACACACCCCTTCTCATCAGAACACCTTGGCTGTCAATTCAAAATCAGCTGGAGCTAAGTGCCCAGAGCCATGAGGGAAGTCATATTTTTGTCACAGTCTGAAATAGAACATCAAATTGTTTTTCCTGAAGAGGCTTGTGTTTTTAAACATTCGTTCATTTTTATTTTACATATCTGAGTGTTCTCCTTGCATGTATGTGTACCTTATGAACGCCTGTGTCCATGCAAGGAAGAAGAGGGTGACAGGTCACCTGGGACTGGAATTACAATAGTTGTAAATCACAGTGTGGATGCTGGAAGTCAAACCTGAGTCTTCTGTAAAAGCAGTAAGTGCCTTTAAACACTAAGCCATTTCACTAGGTCCTACCCTAAATGTTCTTGCCTGCTACTATTTCTGTGATTTCAATGTTTTGTTTCCTTCTGACACTAACTTGACTTGCCCAGAAGTCTTGGGCAGGAAGTGGTGATGAGGACAGTCTTTTAATAGATAATTTCTTTATTTTTGGTGGGAGTTGGAAGAATTTTCAACATTTAGGAAATTAACAATTACAGGTTATTGATAGGTCAATATTCCTCAGCTCTTTTGAGGAAGAAGGAAATGCTCTACAGTTATTCCATTACTCTTAGTTTGGAGTTATAGCACATGTGTCAGGGGTGACCAAGAAACCCAGGGTTCTCTCCAACATACCAAAGAAAAAAACTCCAAGAGCCTGGAGAGTAATATCTCCTTGTGAGAAGGTTGGGAGGTTGGTAAAAAGAGAACTAATTTAAAAGAATCATTATAAAACACATGTGGAGAGATAGAGAAGAAACCTGAGCATGTCTCTGCTTGGGAAATATAAATATATATTTGGTAATTACGTGTTACAGGTAAAAGGAAACACTACATAGATTTTTTTTTGAGACAGTTTCTCGTTATATAGCTCTGACTGTCATGACACTTGCTATGTAGACCAGGTGGTCCTGGAACTCATATATCAACCTACTCCACCTCCAAAGTGCTGGGATTAAAGCATTATACGTATATCTGTATTATTCTACAATACCTATATATTTAAAGACTCTTACAGAAAAGAGAAAATTATCAAATGCAATAAAATTACTAGCTACTTATTAATAATTCTTACAAAATATGAATCAGTAACACAATAAAATTCTAGTAAATCTATTGAAATGTGCTGATACAATAAAACTGTCATGTTCTTATTAATAAATGGAATAAAAAATGTGAATATTATAATGGCGAATGTGAAATTTCTTGAAATGTACAGGTAAAAACTAGCTATTTATATCATAATCACAGACTCAATGTCAATGTGGTCAATGAAACAGTTCTAAAACAACCAAAGGTTCCAATGTAATATCAAACACACACTTAAACTTATTCTTTTGTAGATGTTGATAAGGTGGTTGATTAAAAAATTTACATGATAAATTGCTAAATCAAAATAAAATTTTCTTTAAATAAAAAAGGATATATAGAAGTTTCTATTCTATGTAACAAGGCTGACTTTGAACATTATAAAAAATGTACAGAAATTAAATACATTAGGGCTCATTAAAAAAAATGCTTGCCATGAAAACCTGAATTTGACCTTGGAACTCACATTAAAAAAGCCAAGTATAGTAACACACTTGTAAATTTAATGTTGGTGAGGCAGAGACAGGAGACAGTATCCAGGGCTTTGTAGCCTACCTGGTGGTTTTCAGAGCAGTGAGAAACCATGTCAATGAAAAAACAAAAATGAAAACAAAACTCCAAACAGAAAAATGAGTAGCACCTTAAAAATAATAACCATGGCTGTCCTCTGGCTTCTACATACACATACACATGTGCACATATATGTGTACAACAAAATTAAATTTTCCAGTTAAAATAAGAGAGTCCAGTGTAACAGGGACTCTCCATGTTATATTCTTGCTGAGGCCATTTTATGTTTAATTTGAATTTGATCTTTTTGTTGGGAAGCCTTATGGAAAATAGGCTTTTGTAAGACCCTAAGGTTAGATGCCCAAGCTACCTTATCTCAGTTTCTGTTAAACTGCTTGCTTGCACAAAATCTCTAATCAGCTGCCAAGCAAAAGAACAGGTTGTGGTTTTTATCTTTAAAAGCCCCTTTTTCTCAGTCTGGAGAAATGGCTCAGAGGTTAAGAACACTGGCTGTTCTTCCTTAGGTCCTGAATTCAATTCCCAGAAACCACATGGTGGCTCATAACCATCTATGATGAGATCTGGTGCCCTCTTCTGGCATGCAGGCACACATGTAGGCAGAATACTGTATAAATAATAAATAAATAATCTAAAAAAAACCCCTTTCTCTTAATGCTCAGAACTACACTTGCGTTCTGAATACCTGAGTGTAGTTTCATTGAGCTATATGCTGTGTCTGAGTAATCTCCTCTTATGGGTACTTCATAGCAATAGAAACATACTAGTGTGGCTATGAATACTTGGAAATGGTAGTTGTAATTTAGATAATTATTTCAGATATTAATTAATGAGTTAAAGTATAATTAAACATTTACTCAGCAGAAAAATCACAATATTTTTCAAAAACAAAACAATAAAGAATATTTTTGTGTTCCCCATAGAGAAACGGTCATGACACTTATGAAGTATGGTGAACAGGCATGAAGATTTTTCATTATAATAACATTATATCCAGACATGGTGTCATTCACCTGTATTTTTAGCACTTGGAAGGCAGAGAAAGGAAGACCAGGATTTAAAAGTCATCCTCAGTTACATCAAAGTTTCAAGGCCAGCCTGTGAGCTATGTGAGAGCCTGTCTTAATATACACAAAAACCCAAACAAACAAACAAACAAACAAAAAAAACAAGAAATAAGCTAGGTGTGGTGGCATATATAGACGATCCCAGGAGTCAGGAGGCTGAGGCAGGATGGACTGCAAGTTTGATGCTAACCTAGACTCTTTAGCTAGCCAGCTGAGCTATGTAAAAACCTGTTTAAAAAACGAAACCAGAGTAACACACATACACACACACACAAAAAAAAACACACAAACACACACACAAATGGTGAAAGTGTTTATAAAAATATGCCATATAAAAAGGAACATAGAAATTACTTGGGACAATATTCCAATAAGTATTACTGATGTTACAAAAAGATTAGTATTTAGAATATGTAAATTTTGTAGTTTGATCAAAAGACTTCAGTTTTTTATATTGTCTTTTATGAATTTATCTTTAATTTTAAAAAGAGAGTGGTACCTACTCCTTTACTTTTAATCTGCTCTAATTGGGTAGTAAAATGTGGATTTTGGAAATGAGGATTTCCTCAAGAGTCTTGGAGAAAAAATCATGTATTGCCTTTGCTCTCCAGAGAAAGTAGGTAAATCATAGTTGGAATGGGACAATATGTCAAAAGTGTTCATGTACTAATCATGACCAATTCCCATTGCATTGATGTTCAACAGACTTAAAAAACCCACGACTTGAGTCTAACCCAGTGCTTAGACTCAAAGTTCCCCTAACTAGTTGGCTCTCTATCTGTAGCATTTTCTGCAATGACTAACCATGGTATGGTTACCAAATTTGATCCCACATAAGGTACCTTGTCCCTCTTGGAGACACAAAACCAGTAACTGGGGGTGAGCTTCAGCTGTGAGGAAAATTATTCTTGGCCAAAGAATATGAGAAGCAGACATAGAAAGTTCATAATATGCTTTTTGACCACTGGAGCAGAAGTCACAGTAAGATGGAAGAAACGAAGGGGAGAAAAGGGAGAATATTTATGCTCAGTGTTGCTGGGATAAGTGCATGTATTATGTGAATTAAATTATAATGAAGTTGGAAGCTGTCTGAACTCAAACTGATGTTGACTAACCTACTTTACAAAATTATTTGTCCTTTTTGATATCTTTTCTTTAAAAGTTAAACACTGTTTGGGTGTAGAAGAATTCAGGCATGTCATGTAGCATGTAATCAGGGGAGGACAGACATTGAGCTAAGTCATGCATGTAATACAGATTAGAATATGCTAACAAAACCTGCTTGCCTGAGCCTAAGGAGATGGACTGGTTTCCTGCTTAATCTATGAGTCTCGATGGATCCTTGACAAGGATTTAGTTCTGTTTTTGTACAATTTGTTGAACACACAGAGCTCATCTTAAGAGATTTAAGGAATTCTGAGTATTACTGGAGACAAAATCAAACAAAACCAGGGAAGAGAGAAGGGGGAAAATAGGAAAGTGGAGGAGAAAGGAGGGAGAACGGATGAGAGACTGTTTCTTTTAGTCTGCAATAATACAACACGCCCTGCGCTTCAAATATTAATGGCTCCTACTTGCTCTGATCTCCTTCCTGAAGGGAAGTTGTCAGACTACTTGGCAAGGTCTGACAGCCTGGAAATATTTGCTAAAAAACAGAAGGAGCTTCAGCTTTATTGAAAATAGCTCTCGTATGCAAAAACAAAATAATTTGCTTTTGTGCACTGGTTTTATATAGGTTGTACCAAGACAGAACAATGAGTGAGAATGCCAGGGGACCTCCCCTTATAGTAAATCTATTTAGAAAAGAGATGTAGAGAGAGTGAGTGAGACGTTATGTTCACTTGACTGATGGTTTAAATCTAATGAAAATGGAAGAATGGGGAGTGAAAGGTTGAAAAGAGTTCCCAATGATTGCAGCTTCTGAGGAATTCAGAATCTGGTGAATGGAGGCATAGAAGAGACTACAGAGCAAAAGGATTGCTGAGTGTGGTGTGTGCTGAAGTTAACATTTTGTTTGTGAAATAGTTACAAGCAGTAAACACAGGAACAGTTAGCCGGAGTATATTTTACTTAAGGATGAGCCTCCGAGGGAAGCTTGAGATTTTTGCATTAACGATGAGAGGTGATATCAACTTTTTCTAAGTATAAGTTTAAACCGAGAGGAGTAAATATATAGGTAAAATTTAGGCTGGCAAGATGGCTGAGTGTGTAAAGGTGCTTGCCACACAAGCCTGAATACCTGCGATTAAAGGACCCAAAGTCTCCTCACAAATCAGAAAGGCTGAGGACCTTAGGAGGTTTATTGTATGGACACAGTTCCCTGAGAACAATACCCTTGTTGGAAGCATGGGCAAGCCACTAGGTGGTGATAGATATTTCACATTGTAGGCAAGCATCAACATTGTAGGTCTGTACAGAAGGAAACAAGTAACCCAGTTTGGTGAGTGATCTAAGAATGGCTAGCTGAGGTTGAATGTGGCACACCCAAAAAATTCGTGCTCATTGTGTTTTTTACAAAGCATGGTCTGGAGATATCTAAAGTTTCTATATAGTACTGAGCAAATCAGGGTTTATGTGAGAAAAGTAAGTGACTGTTTTGTAAATGTCACACCTTAACTTTCTAGAGATTAACATCATGGTTAATACACTCCACTCTGTGGAATTCAGCACCATTATTGGCAATTAGTATACCTGGGAAGTGAATATAGATCAAGGAGACCTGACAGCTGGGACCTATATGGTGGGGCCACTTATAGTTCATAGAGTGATATCAAGTTCAACATATACCCATCATATTTACATGAAGCATACTATAGGTGCATTATAAAGAGAATAGCAATGATGCCTTGCATCAGAGAGCACAGCAAGGTACCCCAGTGTGATGGGCAGGAACCATGGAACATTACATTTGGAAAAGTGTCCATGTTCTGGATAATGTGGCCATGGAAATGCAGATGGAGGTACTGTTATTTTATAGCTTCTTTAACAGTCTTTGATTAGGTAGATGATATTACTCGTGACACTAAGACAGTTGGGAGAGGAGAGCCCTGCAATTTCAAAACATTTTTGTTCATTGAGTGGCAAGTTAAAACTAAATGTTCCTTGTGATGATTTTATCTTGTGACCTCTTGTCTTTCACTTTCAGAAGTCAAAGTTTTGTTCTGTTTGTAACATGAGGAACTTAAGCCTTTGTGCTCAGTATTGGACTCTTTAAGTTTCTTTTGTTGTCCCAGTCCTGCTGGGGTCAAGAAATGCCTTCCAATATCATTGTTTGACAGATAGGACATTTGACAAATACAAGAACATATGACATACCTATTCTTTGTCAAATTTATCTGGGTCTGTTTTATGTTCGAGAACATTTGACACACTTGCCTCTGGCTTTTGTAGCTCTGTTCTATGAAGTGCTACTAACCTGCAGGAGGGTGGAATGCTTGATACATAAGCACAAGGGACCCCATGAATATGGAGGGACTCTATAAAGAGTATATGAATTTCTTTCCTGATTATTTCCTGATGTGATTGACATTTACTAGATGAAGTTTCTCCTCTTTGTTCTGGTATTATCTTGGATGCAATTATTTTACTTTCTTCAATGGCTCAGAGGAGAGGGCATAAAAGTTTATTTACCATGTGATCACTTGCACAGATACTAGGGTGAGCAAAGTGGAGTTACATCTTTGCATTGGGTTTCTTAAAGGTCCACTGTTTGCTTTTTTCCAACAGTGTTTTGAAATAG